TTTAAAAAATTTGAGTTCTATTTGTAAATTATTTTGACTTTATTACATTTTGTTTGTGGTCTGATATCTGAAAGGAAACTGATCAATAAAAGAAAATATTTGGATTTTTTTTTTTTTTTTTTTTTTTTTTTTTTTTTTTTTTTTTTTTTTTTTAGACAGAGTCTCACTCTGTTACTCAGGCTGAAGTGCAGCATTGAGATCTTGGCTCAGTGCACCCTCTGCCTCCCAGGCTCAAGCGATTCTCCTACCTCAACCTCCTGAGTAGCTGGGATTACAGGCAACTGCTAACACACCTGGTTAATTTTTGTATTTTTAGTAGAGATGGGGTCTCACCATGTTGGCCAAGCTGGTCTTGAACTCCTAATCTCAAATGATCCACTCTCTTCAGCCTCCCAAAGTGCTGGGATTACAGGCATGAGCCACTGCACCCAGCCTGGATGTTTTTAAAAATAAGGTTTTATGCATTCTCTCTCATTTTATATTCTGCATGAGAGAAATAGCATGGTTCAAATATAGTAATGAATAATAGGAATATATATATATTATATGAGTAATATAGTTTGGAAAGATGCTGCTCTTTTATAAAATAATTGCTTTCCAGTCAGTAGAATTTAATTCATTGCATTGTTTCTGAACTTCTAAATGAAAGTATGAAAACCAAATCATATTACTTTTAAATAAATTAGCAAAGTTCGTTTGTGATTCAGAATCCCCATTAGATTAGTTTCTTCAGTAGTGGGAGTATATGAGTTTCATTATACTATTTCCAAGTCATAGAAAAAGGTAAACTATCAATTGATCGCATTCTTTTAGTCTAAGCCTGGATTTGATATTAGAAATTTGTACCTTAGGAAGTCTCAACCATTTTTAATGGACAGCCAAAAGACAAAACAACAAACTACAATACTCATGTTACAGATAAGGAATAAGAGTATTCTAGATCCCTTAGTATTTGAACCTTCAGATCTCAATAGCGTCATAACTGAACTTCTTAGCACTTCTGCTGATTCATGTATAAGATTCACATTCAAGGCCTGGAATGGTGGCTGATGCCTGTAATCTCAGCACTTTGTGAGGCCAAGGCGGGCAGTGAGGTCAGGAGTTGGACACCAGACTGGCCAACATGGTGAAACTCCATCTCTACTAAAAATACAAAAATTAGCCCGGCATGGTGGTGGGCGCTACTCAGGAGGCTGAGGAAGGAGAATGATTTGAACTTGGGAAGCGGATGTTTCAGTCAGCTGAGCTCGCACCACTGCACTCCAGCCTGAGTAAGAGAGTGTGGCTCCATCTCAAAAAAAAAAAAAAAAAAAAAAAGAAAGAAAATTCACATTCAAGCTCAGAAACAGGTTGGGTACTAATAGCCATCATCATTAGGCCAAGAAGAAATACAGAGCTATTTAAAGAAGCAACTGAGGTAGTTATTTCCTCTTTACCCAAAGAGTTCTTATAAAAGGAGATAAACATAAACTCTCAAGAAAAAAAATAGATATCTATCCTACACTTACAAATATCTAGGAATCATAAAAATTGGGAGGAGTAGGAAATGTGAAAAAAGTATTAACTTTTCAGATTATCTTGGTTTTATGGTACATAATGTTAACTGTAAGAAACATAATAGTGATAAATGTTTCAGATACATCAAACTATAATGAGTAGAAAATATATGCAAAAGTACTTCAGTTGTAAAAGTGGACAGGGAATAACAAAATAAAATCTTAATTGAAAAAAAGCAAAGTAAACTTTCAAGAAAAAAGAGAATAAGGCCATTATTACAAGCTAAACTTTTAGACAGTGATTTTTTAATGCATTTTTCTTAAATTTTATAAATTTTTTTTCAACAGAAACATAATGGATTATAGAAAATTAGAAAATGCAACTTAGTAAAAATAAGAGCACTGTATTCATACACACGAGACAGCTACTATTTAGTATGTTAGTTTTTTTTTTCCAGATCTATGTGTCTGAGAATATATCTGTATATATATATATATATAATTTTTTTATTTTTTGAGATAGATCCTCACTGTGTCACCAGACTGTAGTGCAGTGGTGCAATCTAGGCTGACTGTAACCTCCACTTCCCAGGTTCACGTGATTCTCCTGCCTCAGCCTCCTGAGTAACTGAGACTACAGGCGGGTGCCACCAGGCCCAGCTAATTTTTATACTTTTAGTAGAGATGGGGTTTCATCATGTTGACCAGGACAGTCTCAATCTCCTGACCTCATGATCCACACACCTCGGCCTCCTAAAGTGCTGGGATTCCAGGCATGAGCCACCGTGCCCGGCCAAATATGTTTTTTTCACATTGAAATCCTACTGTTTGGAAACCAAATCTTTTCAGTTTATGGTCCACATCTTTCTGTTGCAGCAAATTATCTTCTCATCTACTGTATAATTTATATTGAGATCTCTCAAGTTCTCCCCAAAAGACTTTATAGCTGGTTTGTCCAAACCAGGATCTAATCCAGGATTGTGTTTCATATCTGGTTGCTATCTCTATTAAGTCTTCTTAGGCTGCATCATCACCTTTTTCATGATACTCACATAATAAAAAAGAATCTGCAGGTTGTCTTATAGAATGTTCCCTCCTCCTGTGGTACTGGTTGCTTGTGGTTAATGATTTATGTTTCCAAAGTAAATTCTGTAGGAATAGGAAGAATTTGGCCTCCTAAAATGTTTTTTAAAAATTACATATGATATTTAAGTGCAGAAACTGTAGTTTTTTATTTCTTCAGGTTATTTGTACATGTACCATTCCTGCAGAGTGGTAAGAAAAGAAAAGAGTAAAGAAATTCAAGTAAACCAAAAATATTGCTGTGAGAAAATTTTGAAAGTAAATTCTAACTAGAAAAACAGAAATTACCATCTTGAGTTTTTGAATGTCTTATTTTGACTACCACTACTTGCCTGTATAGTAATTATGTGGCAACTGATCTCCATGAAAATAAGATAAAAGAGAAGAGAGAAGTTATTTTCTTCTGGAAGTTTGTTCTTAAAAAACAACAACAAGCAAACAGAGAAACAAACAAAAAACAAAATAGAGCATTTTCTTTTCATATACAGCAACATTTATGTTTATATATATTTACATAAATACATATACCACCTATTATTTTTGCAAAATAAATAAGCAGAGAAAGGTTAGCATTTGCTCTAAATCTACAATTAACAAAATGTTGGACACAAGTCTCAATTATACATAAATATTTTGCAATAAAAGGTTGGACTGAAAAAACAGAAATACCACCATTTCAATAACAGTGAGTTCTCAGGAATGTGTTAGGCATTTGAGCTAAAAATAATACCTTGGGTTGAAACATAAAATATTTCCTGAAATACACATTTAACTTGAATGCTAAAAAATATGGTCTTACACAAACAAAAGCATATCACAATGATGGGTTTGTTTCCATTCTATAGTTTAATTTTCTCAGCAAAGATTTTTATATCTTTAGAAAATCCCATTTAGAAAAATCTAGTTGAATTATAGCAACATATATACTATAGTACTTTGAGCTGTCAGGAAACAACCTTTAGGATGAACTACCTTTTTAGATTTTTCTGCAGTTTTATATGACAATATAGCAGTCATAATCTTTAAAATACATGATTTCATTTATAGAAGAAATTACACAGATTTTTTTTCACTAGCTTTTTAAAATTTCAAGATTTATTTTGGATCATCCATCATCATTACTTCTGATCTATCTCTGAGAAAAAGTTTATTTAGCAAGAGAAAATATTTTTTTAAAAAACATAGCATAAGTCCTTTTAAAAATATAAATTTAAGATATAAAATGCTTTATGTGTGAGCACACCTGAAATTCTTTTTTAGTTTTGATATGCGTTGTGGCTTCATGGTCAAGTATTTTTTAGGTGACATCTGTGTGTTTCACTCAAGATTATTTGGTATGGCATACATGGATATATTTCAGGACTCTGACCACAGAAACCTTAGAGATACTGCTCTACTCTAGAGCAAGTTAAAAATCACAACTACTGCTGTTTAAGCAAGGAAAATTTTATGTAAGAATTATCAGTTTCAAACTTACATCCTTGCTAACAATAGATTGCCAAAACATTTTAAGAATAAAAATTTCCAATCAATCTCTTCTTCATCCGTTTTTGGTACTGTTTCCCACTTTTTATGTAATGCTTCAAGTGTGAACCTCTTTTATGAGTATATGATGCTTAGACACACTATTGATTCTAATACTCTTGTCATTATTCTGAAAACATGTCTGAACCAATTATTTTTCCTTCTCCTGACCTTTATCCTACCAGAGCTGCCCTTATCAGAGTTTCAAATAGCACTTTCGGCAATAACAACTCTCTTATTGGTATCCTTATACTCCAGAGGTGTGAGGTTTATAGCCTTCAGACCACTCATTTTTTGCATTAGAGCAGTGGTTCCTAATGGAAGGTGATGTTGACCTCTGGCAGTCTGGAGACATTGTCATGACTAGAGGGTGGGGGTGCTACTGACATCTCGTGAGTAGAAGCCAGGAATGCTACTCAACATCCTAAAAGACACAGGACAATTCCCGACAACAAACTCGTATTCAGCCCCAAATGTCAATAGTGCCACTGTTGTGAAAGCCTGCCTCAGAGAAAATACTGAAAATAAAATTACATAAAGCAACAATACTATTACAACGTATTCGCTGTTTTTTAAATGCACCAATACCAATATTTTGGCATATGTTTTTCATACTGCTAGCAAATTTTAAGTTTTTTTTTTTTTTTTTTTTTTAATCAAATGGCATGTTGTGACTGTTCATCCTCAAAGATTACTTGTACATGCATGGTTTATTATTTGTAAAACACACATAGAAAAAACTGTAGTCTTTACTGTGAGAAAGGTCTTGGTAGAGCAAAACCTGATGCACTTTTATATTTGCATTTCATCTAAATAATGTGATTTGCTTTTTCCTCTTCCTCTGTCTTCTCTCTCTTCATACTTTTTTTTTTTTTTTTCTCTCATTCTGGTTGTCAGAACTCCCCTGATTGCAGCTGGAGTAATTGGTGGGCTCTTCATTCTGGTCATTGTGGGTCTGACATTTGCTGTTTATGTTAGAAGGAAGAGCATCAAAAAGAAAAGAGCCTTGAGAAGATTCTTGGAAACAGAGGTGAGGTATTTATTTCTCTTCTTCACGTGTTTAGGGATTTTCATTAGGTTTAGAAGGTTTAGATGATGTTCAGTTATTTAATTCAAGTAAAATTCTGTCCCATTTTCTATTATTTTATTTTATTAAACAAGGCTTGTAAAAAAAAACAGATTATATCGTAAAAATAGTCAAGACTTCAAGAGGGTAGATGGGATTGGTCAAGAAAATTATTGTATTGGGGAAAGTATCTATTATTTTGTGTGTATGGTTGGGGGAATCCCATTAGCAAACTCTAGATAGAGAATATCTTCATAAAAGCAGAGATAGAAAATATCTGCATCGATCTAGAAAATGTTCCAAAGAAAGAGAATCTTTCTCTTTCAAAACAAAACAGACAAGGAATGCATGTTTTAATTAGTATCATCCAATTGGTAGTCAGTGATCTTATTATACCAGCAGTGAAAGACTGAACTTATGGGATAAAGCTTAGTGTTGTAATCACATAGACGTTACAACACAATTCATAGGATGCATTTCATATTATGCATGGTGGTTATTGTGAGCATGTAAATTACTCATAAATGATTATAATGTCTTTTATATTGCTACCCTGAGTTCTCTAGCATAAAAGCAGATTGTTTTCATGGTACTGGAAACAGGGAAAAAGCAATTACAGAAGACTATGTATTACCGGACCCTTCTCAACTTCCATCCTACCTTTTTCCTGATACACACATTTGTGTCTAAACAATTCAGAGCAATTATGTTCTGAAACTAATCTTACCCAAGGTTTCTTGTTTTTCTCATTGTCAGTGTGACAATTTAACTTTTCCTTTGAACACTGACTGTAATGGGATGAATGGGAATATTCATTCATTCATACATTTTGCATACTGATAATTAAATTTTAGCTCTTTTTACCCGAAATCAAATCTAGATAGAAATATCCTGTGAAAGTTTCTGGAAGCTACCTTACAGCTGCATCTAGGAAAACATTTTCTAAGGATTAGAGTTATCGGAAATTGGAATGAGCTGGCTCATTAATAGACATGTTCAAACAAAATAAAGGTAGTCAGTTACATACATGGGAAACCCTAATAGTGATTCCTGCTTTAGCCGGAAGCTTATAGAAGAGCAATTTGATTACTTTTAATCTTGCACATGTGAATGAAAGTTTGGACACAACACATGTGCTTTGTGCTATGCATGTTTGCAATTTAGCTAGGAGGCCGGAGGCAGAGAGAATTCTTCCTCGTGACCAGCTTGAGGCAGTTGGTGAGAGAATTCTGAGAAGTGAAGCATTATAAACTAGAGTCGGAAAGGACTTGAAAGCTTGGAATAGCAGTATACATTTAGGTGACTGCATAATGGAAGAGAAAATCCTGTAACCACATACAGAGAAGGATCATTGCAATGAAAAGAGTTGTGTTGCATTATCTTGGTTTGGTGTTTTAATGCAGTGCTTTACAGGAATGTCCTTCAAACTGTCATTTTCTTAACTAAATAAACACACATTGGTTTTATAGGCAGGTTCTATTTTTATAGAAAATTTTTATTTGACTAAATTATTTTACGTTTGGAGGTCAGATAACTGTAGAATCCCTATCTTTCTCTTAGTAAAGGAAAATACCTATGATTTTCTATCATCTAAATAAAGGGGGAATTTTTAAGAGGGTCAATTTAAATCCTTCAATACTGAAGCTAGAAATCTCCCTCAGAAGTGAACATATGATGAATCGATACATTGTTTGCATACACTTCATGTTGGTACACGTTCCTCAAATTATTTTGCTCCAGATTGTCTTTTTTTATGTTACATGGGTAAAACTAGACAACATATTTTTTCAACATAAGCTGACTGAAATGCACTGTAAGCTTGATGCTTTGGTAGGTGACGTGATTCAAAATGTATTAATGAGACATGATCCCATCCCTTGAAAAGTAACAGATATAGTGCCTGCCATATGCCAGGCAATGTTCTAGAATTTTCCACAGATGTTATCTCATTTCATCCTTTCTCAAGTTTCTAAGGTGATTATTGCTATACCTATTTCACAGATGAGAAATAAAGGTTTAGGAAGGGCAAATTGCTTCCCGTGAGTGGCAGCACTGTCATATACATCTCCAAGTTTGAACCCTTTAAACCTTCTTTCTACCCTATCACTGCTGGCTTATAAAATGACACTATCCTTTTTTTAAAGGCATAATTTTTAAATTCCTAGAAACATGTGTCTAAATAAAATACATTAAATGATATGCAAGAAAATTAAGGAAGACTAAAAAACTCAAGTAGAACTGTGTATATTTTAAGTATATCTCCTCCAAAATGCTGAAGCCTCCTCTCAGTATTGTGTGTGACTTGATGTGACTTTTGTATATGTGTTGTTTTTTTTTTTATTAACATGTACTTTTATTTTTAATAACTTTAAACTTTGGTAAAAGCTTAGAAAGCAAGAAATCCTGAACTGTTTATCAGATGTTAACATTTTATAGATGAAATCATTCTACAAGTTTTATAAAATCCTTTTTTAGTTGGAAATGACCCAGACATCCAAATGAGCATCCAAAATAATTTTAAGTTTTTAAATTTTATAAAAAGTTTGCTAGCAAGCATGTACCCATTTTAAATGATCATAAAAGTTATGTATTATGCATATAGCATGTGTATCAAAGTCTACCCAGTAATTCCTGTATGGTTGAATTGCTTTCAAGTGAAGGGGACTCAGTTGAGCAATCATTTTGAAATTTAAAAGATTAGTGATTCTTCCTGAGATTTTTAAAAATGTGACTTGAATATAGTTCTATGTTATCAAATTTATATTTAGCATAAATTTGAAAATGAAATTGAAGAAGATGAGTTGTCAAACTCATAATTGCAGAAGAGTTTGACCATAACCTCAGTTTACTGGTATTTTTTTTATATTCTTCCTAAAATTCTTGCTATAGCTCTACTTACCTTCACTCAAGAATCTTCTACTAATTAAGTAGGCCATGATTTTCACAGAAGCATGGTAATTCATACACAAGCTGCAAGGCCACAGTGCACTTAGCTTTGTAAATAGATATTTTGAAATACTGTTGGGGGTTCAAGACAATTTGAGTAGTAGTAGCCTTTGATTATTATGCCAGGAAAAAAGAGACTATTTGTGAAGTTTAGTTCCTTAATTTAACTTCAAAAGGAAAAAGAAAACTCCTATTTCTCATACTTGCCCTTTTACTCATACACAGATAAAAAGCTAAAATTTTCAACATAGGATACAGGTTTTTTGGTACCCAGAGTCTCTCTTAGATGTATATTTTTTTCCCTCACATATGCCAGTGATTGGCATGCATGCATATACTTCCACCCTTCTCATTCATTCTCCTAACTGAATCACATTCCAAAGATGACATCTGAAGCTACCAACCTAATTTTACTTCTCTGCCACACCCAGCCTACCCCATGGTTAGGTAGGTGTTCCACCCTACTCTCACCCTTCTGACCTGTCCCACTCCCTGTTGTATTCTGCTATATTTCTTCCTTCTTCTCCTTGCCATGCCCAAGCCGCTTTTTACAGTGGCCATCCAAACGCCAGCCCACGTTTATTATCTCAAGACTTGATTTTAAAGTGCACATTCTTTAGGAAGGAAAAAATATTGAGCCTCACTCCCCAGTTGTTGTTTGATTCCTTGCATTTCATAGTATTCACTTATGATCCAGAATCAAATCACAGAATTTTGGAACTATTGATCGAACATGTCCACTTTGCGCCTTGGTACTTAAAATGTGTTCGAGGACCACCATGGTACCTAGGCATCCCTTAGAGTTTTGTGCAAATGCAAAAATCTCAGGCCTACCCCAGACCTGCTGAACCAGGACCTATACTTAACAAGAACTTCAGGTTAATTCAGATGTACATTAAAGTTTTAGCAGCACTGTCTTAGGGTTTTGGCATTATGCTTTTTTTCCCTCTCCTTTGACATATTTGTTCTGGCTTCCCAGGTATATTTTACACTCTAAGAAGGCAGCATTTCCTTTCTTTAATGCATGAAATCCCCTAGCCTAGTATTTCTAGGTGCACATTTGTTGTTTGTGTTTGCCCTGGCAAAGAGCAGGAGAAGAGAAAGGACACGGTCTGAAGGAATGGATGAATGTGTCAGTGAAGAGTGAGTGGTGCATATTACAAAGGTATTGGTTGTCAAGGAAAACTCTATTTGTGTGTTTTTGCTTTGTGAGAAAGAGGACCAGAGTGAGAGAGAAGGATTGACTATTGGATTGAAAGTATAACCTTCTTCTTTCTGCTTTGCAGTTGGTAGAACCTTTAACTCCCAGTGGCACAGCACCCAATCAAGCACAACTTCGTATTTTGAAAGAAACGGAGCTGAAGAGGGTAAAAGTCCTTGGCTCAGGTGCTTTTGGAACAGTGTATAAAGTAAGTAAAAACAACACATACCGTTAGTTATTTTAGATTTTGTTTTATATGTTTAAAAAATAGCCCATAGAGTTATTAGTTTAGACAAACTAATTTTCTTATAATATTCAGAAAGGAAGACTTTTATAATATTAAGAGGTTGCTGTACAAATGAATTCATTAATTTTTATTGAATGAGCTGGGATGGATACAGTCTTGAGAGAAAAGCAAGAAACACTGATACAAAGCCAAGTATAGTTTATTTATCAATGCCTTTCTGAGCTCCTTGTATCATATTCCTTTTGGCAAATTTCTTTTCTTACCTAACTAGCAAGCCATAACCCATTTTCCATTACCCCTACACAGTGCTCCATGAACCCCACACATGCCTTGGCAATATACCATAATCCTTTGTCTTTTTTGCTTCTGCTTTTTTATCTAGTGCCTCCCCATCAGGACCCTACTGGCTGCTCTTTATAGAATCTATTCAAATATCCTGATGTCTTAATAAGTTGCAAATAGTTTCTAAATCATTTTTTGCCTGCCTAGTTACATTTATGATTTTGTAAATAATGTCCATAGTTTTGATATATTTGTCATTATAGGCAAACCAAAAATTGTGACATTATATGTGAAATTCAGGTCAGACAGGAGGAAAAGGTGACATCGTATGTTTTCAATTAAGAGCTATTTCTGGAAAGGAAAAGCTCAAATGATGGCATTTGTATGTTCACTTATTTGCCTTAATTACAAGACCAATTCAGAGTCTAGGCCCAAGATTAATTGTGGTAAAATTTATTTTAATGGTAAATAACAAGATTAAGAAACTCTTCTGGGCTAATGCTAAATCCTTCTTGTAATATCTATTACTTTGGCATTTAATATATTTCTTTTTCTTTCTTTCTTTCTTTTTTCTGAGACAGAGTCTTGCTCTGTTGCCCAGGCTAAAGTGCAGTAGTGTTATGTCTACTCACTGCAACCTCTGTCTCCCAGGTTCCGGCAATTCTTCTGCTTTAGCCTCCCAAGTAGCTGGGATTATAGGTGAACATCACCATGCCTGGCTAATTTTTGTGTTTTTAGTAGATATGGGGTTTTACCATGTTGGCCAGGCTGGCCTTGAACTCCTGACCTCAAATGATCCATCCCTTAGCCTCCCAAAGTGCTGGGATTATAGGCATGAGCCACTGTGCCTGGACAGAATATATTTCTTAAATACTATCTGATAAAATTAATTGAATCGTAGAAACTTTGCATTTCAAAATAATCATTTTTTTTCTATTTAAAGCAATGATTTATTTAACAGAAAATAATTAGAATATAAATCTTAATTTTTCTCTCTTAATGCTCCAAAATAACCTAATCTTAAAATAAAACTTGCATTCTAAGGTCTAAATGTAGAAGTTTCCTAATTTTTTAGTATACATATTTTGTTAAATTAAATTTGGTATTAAATTGACATAAATTTCAGGACTTACTTTGCATAGGCACTGTTCTACTGTTCTAGGTAGACTTGATGCCTTTTCTAATCTTCAGATTTGATATATGTTCACAGAAACACAAATATTTCTGTTTCTCAATTTAGATTATGCTAGACAAAACCAGAATCAGACTGTATCATTTTATATCCTTAAAATTTGTGTCTAGTTACTGCAATTTTATTCACATCTTTAATAATTTTAATCTGTATTCATTTCTACAATAAAATGATATCAACAAATTATGTAGACAATAAATATAGAGTCCTAAATTGCAGTCTTGATTGTTTAAATTGAAAAATTGAAAGTAATGTTGTGAATTGGATCAATACTGACAATTATTCTGGATCATTTAGCTGTGCCATAAACCCCCATTCTAATGATTGGTTGCAGGATTTTCCCCACTTGAATTATCTGGTAAATGCTTCAATTCTCCATATTCACAGATGTCACTGAAGGTTTCTGTGCTAAACCACAGGACAAGTCAGCAGAAAAATATTAGGGCTTCCTTCCTTTAAATGTTGACCTGTTACCAATTTACTTGAGGCACTGACAAAATTTAAAGCAAGTAGGCAAACTTGGGTATTTATGAAGAAGAGGAATAGGTAGATAAAAAGATAGAGATAAATGGCAAATTTAAATGTATTATAACATACTTCCATTTTTAAGATAACTCAATCTTAGATTGTTCCTAGAGTTTAATCACCCCTACATTTTTAAAGATAACGTGGTCTGTAAATTAAATCTTATTTTAGACCCTGGATACTCTATAACTCAAGACTAAACACTATTTAATATCCTCAACAGAGAAAAATGTTACCCATTTAAGCATTTAATAATAAAGCTTTATTAACTTTTATTAAGAGCATTTATTTGTCTATTGTGCATGAGTGTTTTACCTTTATTGAAACTGCTTGTAATAAAAGTTTATTGGAAATTTCATAAGTTTTTTTAAATTATCTGCCTGAAGTGTCTATAGTTGACACTAAGTTTTAATGAATGTATCAGTTTTTATGAAGACATACTATTTCAAATTATAAAGGATTATTCTTGACTATAGAAATGCAAATTGGCTTAAGCAATTACTTATTTTTTCTCCTAATTAGAAATATTCTCTGTTTATGCATTCAAATTAGAACCAATATCATTGATATCAGATAGTAAAATATTTAATTGGTTGGGTCCAGAAAATAGGGAAATAATGAAATAAAATAATGAAAATAAATGAATAATTTAAATAAACATTTATTTTAAGAAGAGGCATACAATAATTTACATTGAATTTATATTCTTATTTTATTTATTTATTTATTTATTTATTTTTGAGATAGGGTCTTACTATTTAGCCCAGGGTGGAGGGCAGTGGTGTAATCACAGTTCACTGTAGCCTCGACCTCCTGGGCTCAAACCATCCTCACACCTGAGGAGCTGGGACCACAGGCATATGCCAGCACACTCAGCTCATTTTTTAATTTTTAATTTTTAGTAGAGTTGGGATCTCTCTATGTTGCCCATGCTGGTCTTGAACTACTAGGCTCAAGAGATCCTCTTGCCTTGGTCTCCCCAAGTGGTGGGGTTACAGGGATGAGCCGCGATGCCTGGCCTATATTATTTTAAAAGTACACTTTAGGGATACTTTAATATTGTTGCCATGCCTTTATAAAGTAACCCCCTCTGTGGTTACTTCACTGAATAATGAATAGTAAGCCTCTTTTCCACCCTAGATAACATCAGTGAGAAAATGCAGCCTATCAGTATTGGCCTTTCTGTTCTTTTTTCTATTTCTTTTTCAATTTGTTTTTAATTTTATGCAAAAAACTTGGCTTTTTATTTTGCATTTGACACATAGATTTTCCTATTCACCATGCCTTGTAAGAATGCAACCATAAATTCACTTTCTAAAAGTTAGTCTTCTATTTTCTTTATTATTGTTACTGTGTTTTAAAATAATTCTTGTGTTCAAGTCTCCTTATGATGCTGCAGCTTTGAGTAACACAACTACATATGTTGTAGCATAAAAGTTCAAAGTGAAAAGTTTTTGAATTTTTTTTATTTATGACTATAACCAGCTGATATTAAGAAAGACAGAAAGTAAAGATGTTCTGTTCAGGAATAACTATTTTTCTCATATTTTCATTTTAATGTTAAAAATTTTATAAGAAATATTTTCTAATGTCAGGACTAAAGAGCTAAAATTGGACATTTTTGGTTTCTTGTCCTCATGACCTCATATTTGCATTTGTGTTCATTTGGGAAAATATATCTTTAAAATGTATTCTTGTATTATCTGTACATCTTTGTGTGTCAGATCAAAATTATTGTCCTCATTCAAATGATATAGTTCACTTTACCTAGAAATGCTATTATTGAGCATAACGTCGTATTTCACTCAAACCCTACCAACTTTATTCTTTCCCAAAGCATAGTTCCTATTCAGATAATATAATTGTATTTTAATAGGAAAAGAGAACTAGCAACAGCCACTACAAATATCTTATACTTCTTCAGAGATAATAAAAACCCTTCACATGCACACATATACACATGCTTTAATAATGTAGACAAATTAATATGTGCTCAATATTCCCTAGCACTTGTCTTTGAAAATTAATCTTAAATATTTACTGTTGAAAATTAATTATTAAATCAATCTGAACTTGAAGAACATGAGAATATGCTTTTTTAATTCTTTTTTTCTTTTTACTGAATAATTAGATAATATTCAACTTGAGAAGATTCTAACATTACTTAGCCCAGTCTTATAAATTACAGATGATACAATTGAACTTCAAAAAGTAGAACAACCATATCAAAAAGTCAATAATATCATCCAAATCAGATATTCTATGATATCCTATTTCCATGTTTTCTTCACAATTCAAAGTCTTTTTCATGCACACAGTAGAATTTCACAGTAGTGCAAATATCTTGAAAGCAGGATATACATACTGTATATTCTATATATATAGTCATATATATGAGAGTCATCTTCAGATAATGAAAGCAGACAACAAACTTGCAGAGTAACTAACTTGTAACATGTAACAGGTTCTAAATAAACATTTGTTGATTTAGCTTATAATATTGAATGTTTTAATATTGAACTTATACATTATTTTGTAAGAACTTAATGGGTTGAGATGTCATATTTAATGTGAAATTTTTTTCTCCAAAGGGTATTTGGGTACCTGAAGGAGAAACTGTGAAGATTCCTGTGGCTATTAAGATTCTTAATGAGACAACTGGTCCCAAGGCAAATGTGGAGTTCATGGATGTAAGTACAGACATCCAAGCAATCACATTTTTCTCCATTATCAAATAGCCTAGATAATTAAAGCAAAAAATAGCTTAGATAACTAAAGCAAAACAAAACAAAAACTCCGCAACTTATGAATTTCTCCTATGAAATGTTATAATCTTATAATTAAAGATATTTCTTTTTTTTTTTTTTTTTTTTTGAGACGGAGTTTCGCTCTTGTTACCCAGCCTGGAGTGCAATGGCACGATCTCGGCTCACCGCAACCTCCGCCTCCTGGGTTCAGGCAATTCTCCTGTCTCAGCCTCCTGAGTAGCTGGGATTACAGGCATGCACCACCATGCCCAGCTAATTTTTTGTATTTTTAGTAGAGACGGGGTTTCACCTTGTTGACCAAGGTTGGTCTCGATCTCTTGACCTTGTGATCCACCCGCCTCGGCCTCCCAAAGTGCTGGGATTACAGGGTTGAGCCACCGCGCCCGGCCCTAAAGATATTTCTAAGACCACTTCACATTGTATTATACTTTTTAGATCATATCTGCTTCACTGCTATCTGCCTAGATAGTTCACTAGAACTTGGCTTTAGAGTTTGAAGATGTTTACAATCCCCAAGGTGAATTATCTTCCATGTTGAATCAGATGTGTAATATTCTTATATTTTCTTGTTAAATATAACCAAATAGCCCTCAACTGACAGCAATACATAATTTCAACTGAAAAAATATTTAATAACCAAAAATCACCAGTTGCATTTAATAATCAAATATCATGAGTGTATTTCTCACAATTAGTTGCACCGAACAATATTAGAAAGGCTATGCGGTGGTGGCAATAAGTCACTAATATTTACAAAGTATTTACTAAGTGCCAAGCACTGTTAAAATAATTCACAAATAATAACTTATTTATTCCTCAAAATATGACAGACCAAGAACCTGGGATTAACCCAAGATTACTCCAAGGTCACAAAGTTAGAACATGGCAGGTCTAGACTTTGAATTCAGGAAGCCAAGCTTGAGTAGGGATCAGTAAACTTTCTTTTACAAGGTTGGATTGTAGTCAGGCTTTTACATGCTATGTGTTCTCTGTGGCAGAGGCTCAACTCTGCCCTTTTTGGTGGGAAAGCTGCTATAGATAATTAAAGCAAAACCAAACAAAGCACAAACTAATGGAAATGGGTGTGACTGTGATTCAGGAAAACTTCTTATTTACGTAAATAAGCTGCAGGCCAGATGTTGCCTAAGGGGAAGGCAGTGGCTGAAATTGATACTTTGAAAAATTAACCAAACTGCTTTATTTTATTATGGTTATGATGTATTTAGTTGAAAATATCAATCAAGATTAGTTTCTACAGCAAGTTAGTCTCTGTTAAATTTAAATTAAGAACCTACCTGAGTCAGGTAATTACCCCTTGACATTTACTTTTTTCAAATCGAATTCAGAAGAGAAGACTATGGGTTAAAATACTCCAACTATAGAATAATAACAGACCTCTAAAGAATAAAAAAGTACTTTATAAGGTCAATCAGAACTTTGAGATTTCCCACAGCAAAAATTGTGATTTGAACTGTTCAGCAAATTTCAGAGAGTAGGGTGGAATAAAATTATATATGTATCATGCTGTTATTTTTTCACATTCAATACAAGATATCTTGCCAGGGGTTCTATCAAAGACCATATATGTTCTTTATCTTTTAGCATAATGTCTTGAGTAATAAGAATGATTTCTATTTCAAATGACCTTTATATGAAAGATGATGCAAGCATATGTACTTTGATTTTTTTAAAAAGACAGATTGCTATATACCTCTATCCAGTTTCTCTTGAAAGCTCTTTTACAAGTTTTACAGGAGCTGTCTTTGACCTTGAATAATTTATTTGTGTATAATGCTAACTACTTTGTATAAAACTACTTTCAGCTTAACTTATTATTAGTTCTCATATAGTAGGCTGATAATCAGCTGGTACAAACCAGTTTTTTGGCTTGGTTGGTTTCATGCTTTACTAGTTGCTAAATATTTTAAATACCACTTTGTTCCATATCTATGGGCATTTATATAACAGACAATGAGACCAGGAACTAAATAATGTTTCTTTCTTCAGTTCTGTAAAGATTCTGACACTCCACAGCTACATGTCCAGAATTACATGTTAAAATTTAAAGCTGAAGACTTTTTCAGTTATGTATCAATTATTCGATTTGAGCTTGATCACAGCTATAAATTTGTGAAGGGAATTTTTAAAGAAATTAGAAGTTATAAAGGGAAATTACAATGAGTAGAAACAGTATAGGTTAATTTATAATACTGGCAGAAAAAAATTGTGTCCAGCCTAGGCTGCAGCCAAAGCTGAAATTCACAAGAATGCTAATAATCTCTGCTGGAGGCTCGAACAGCCATTTTTGTCATATTTCCATGGAAACAGACTGGCAAAGGGGGGTTAAGAGGCTACAAGATAATCACACCTAGGAAAAAGCTCTAAAAACCTCATGATGATTTCGAATGATTATTTGAAAGCTCCTAACCCCATCCATTTTTTTTTCTTGCTCTGATGTATATTCCCATGGAAATGAGAGTAGAGACAGCAGCTTGAAGTCTTAGATTTCTGCTGAATTTTAGATGAGGTGCTGATTGAGCCATGAAAGGAGTCATTTTCCTAGATGGTTGATGGATTTGGTAACCAATGGATTCAGAAGAATCTGTTCTTTTTAAAAGTTAAAAAAAGTTAAGGTAAATATTTTGACTGTGCCTTTCCTACTTGTGGATAGATGCTAGAAGAGTAACAGATTGATGGACAGCTATCAGCAGAGTTTTAATAAGTACCAGGCAGAAACATGTCCTATTATTTTGGTGTCTTCTTTCAAAACATTAGAAGATAGCATCATGATGATTAAAACGCAATTTAACTGGCAATATCAATGTTGAATTTAATATTTAACATAGGCTACTATAATTTTAGCATAAATATAAGCCTATATTTCATACCTACATTTTTAGCTCATCAGTTATGTGTTTAGATCATTATAAAAGTATTTGAATAATAAACCACAAAAAAGAGATAAGTATAAGATAAATTATTATAATTTGAATCTAAGGATTGAGTTGAAATTCTAAATATTCCGGTTACTTGGTTAAAAGTAATATGTTTAACTTGTTTAGTTTAGGTTCTTTCAGATGCAGAAGCTATGCCTGAAATATGAATTTGAGTGACAGTCATTTATTTTGGAGGTGAAGGACTCACCACTAGGGGAGTGTAGAAATAAGAGAGGGGAACTAATAAAGCTAGCGGCCATTATGAGTGACTGGAGCTCCTTTTCACTGGGAAGACTCTGGCAGCCAGTGTAGGACATACACCTCAGAATTATCCCACTCAAGGGTTAAGGGAGCTGAGGATGTAGGACTGCTGGGGGAAAGTGATATTTCACCCCCTACATAAACTTCCAGCCCAGCATGGCAAGATAGGCGTCAATGGAAAGACAGCTGCCAAGCAAAGAAAGGTGGGTAGGGGTCATCTGGTATAACACTATGGTAGAATGTTCCAAGGATAACTTTCGAACTAAATAAGATCTACTGCAACCATGTTTTGCAAGCTAGTGTGTGTGCATATTTGCATTTATAAGCTTGTGCTTTTATACCATTCTTCAGGAGAAAAGAAAGCTTCCAAAGGCAATGGAAATGGCATACTCTTATTAATTGTTAGAACCCCTTTCCCCCACTCGTAACTTTATACTGGGAATAGAATAGTCTAGATTCAATAACCACCACTACTGTATTCAGGAATAGAATAGTCTAGATTCAATAACCACCACTATTATATTCATCATTCATTGCTGTGCTTTACTGGTTATTATAAGAAATAACACAAATATAGCAACTTAATACTCATAATTCATCACTGCATTAAAAACTGTTGATATTCAAGGGTAAAGGAGAGGACTTTTATATTTTCTTAGAATTTTTTACCATAGGAAAAAAAATAAATAATGGGCAGTTTGTGTTCTATTAAATGCCACACTAAAAGCAAAAAAAGGGGAGTTTGGTCACCCAGGGGTGTTACTCTGCTCACCTGAATATGTCTAATGGATTTATAATGACAATAACACAGAGCTAGTGAATGGCCAGTACACTCTTCATTCCCATAAAGAAAGATCACATTGAACAACATTAAGAAAATGACTCCAAAGGCCCACCTTCATAAGAATACCTGCATTTATATGTGCTCCTAGTTCTTGTTTCAAATAAAATTATTTCATTAGGAAAAGGAAAGTGATTTTAGTTGTTTTTTCTTTTCTTTTCTTTTTTTAATCCATCAAATGGTGCAGAACACATACATAAGAAATGAAGCTATTGAATAAGATTCCTGGAATTGTGCATTATCATCTCATAAAATCAGACAGATTGTCCACTTTTCCAAGTTCCCATCACTCTGTATTTTTCCCCAATATTTAAACCTAATATCAGTTGACTTTGTTTTTCTATGTTTTATCTAAATTATTTGCTTTTGTAAAAAAAAAAAATGAAAGAAATTCTGTGATTATTCTAAATTCTAGTGACTGATCAACAGTCATGGCTTTGTATTTACATGCCTTTTTTTTGGCTTTCGTTTCAACTTTTCCACACCAAATTCACCACAGTAAAATACTGCAAGGAAACATGTTTTAAATCACCTAACTTTATTATGTAAATAGTAACATTTTTAGTAAAAGAATAGCTTGTTTTTCTCTCCCTATACCATAGGAAATTTTATTTATCTTATGCGACTGCTCTTTTTCTATTTTCTGAAGAAATGTTCGTGTGAATTTTCTTTATATGTTTCTCTTTTCTGTATTTCCTTATGATATTTGGTATCTTGGGAATTATTTCAACTCTAATTGATATCATATTAGTGGGGTAAAATATAATTTATCAGTAGTTTGCATTTTCTCTCAGAGTTTAACAGGCTTACAAAATTATTTGAAAAGATGTTTTGTTCTATAACATTTTCACATTATTAAATTTCATGTGTATGACTTCACATAG